CCCCAAAACCCCAAAACCCCAAAACCCCAAATAAATTTAAAAGGACTGAAAGTATATATTCTTGAAGAATGTTATAAAGCCTTTCCTCAGATTCATAAAAAAGAATGATAACTAAACCACATTGCGATGCATTCTGGGTGGAAATAGTGGCCACAAGGAGTTTTGATGTAATGCTCTTTGTAATAACTCATAATGTGATATAGCTTCATTCCCTTTATTTTAGAAGCTACACAAAATGCAGTATTACAGTTTTGACTCAGAAATTGTTGTGAGTTGTTTGGGGAGTATCATACTCATGGTTCAGTCAAGCTGTTCATACAATAGGCTCAAGTAGGTATTTTCCATTCTTTGAAAGTTTCAGATCCAAATTCTGGGTACAATCTGTAGATATATTCTTTGAAATTTTGAAGGCTCTCTGGATAATAAGGACCTAAAAATACAACTTGATGGAATATGAATCCAAGAAGCATCAAGAAGTTGATAGATAAGAAGAGAAAGATCAGTTTTATCTGAGTGTAGGTATTCCCAGAAAATTTCTCTGTGAGGTAATAATAATTTATTGCAAGAGTTATATCAAAACTAAAGATCAGAGAGTATATAATATCATATAACGCCTTCGGAATACTTATAGTACTTCGAAACCTTTCTTGGGTAAGCAAACTGTAGAATAAGAGATATACCCAGAAAGAATTCTGAATCATCATTATCCAAATATTACTTGTTAGGAAAGAAATGATTTCTTCGAAGTTTGAGCTAATAATGATTCATGAGATTTCGAAGAGAATGAAGGCTGATATGCTGAAGAGTCTTTTGACTCAGTCCTGCAATTTAGATAATCTAAAACAGTGTAAATATTTCTTTCAAATTTCCATCAGTACCATTCATTGGCAGAAAAGGGTCACATATCTTCTGAAAAGGAATACCATTCAGAGGATGATATCGATTCTGTAATCGAATCCGTATTCCAATAGCCGAGAGGTCAGTAAGCACATATCTCTGCTTGATGCATAAAACATTACCAAAACCACATAATAAATCTTCGAGCCATAACTCCACCCTCCCTTATACTTATCTTGCCAGTTCTCATGTGAACAAATGGCCAACAAGACCGTAGTTCCCACCAAATATCCCACTTCTAGGCCCTTCTTGACCCAAAACCCTTCTTCATCAACTTTCCTTCAGATCTGTTCATCTTCCCAAAATCCCTTATTCCTACAAGTCTTTTTATTAAGACTCGCTTGGTGGTGGGCTAACCAGATTCCATAGGCTTCAATCATGGGAAGTACTAAGCTGAATAGAAGGACTAGCCATTTTATAATACGCATGAGGCGTTCCTGGGCACTCTCAGAGGTTGATCGTGATCGCATATTTGTTATTTAGTATATTTTTGGATAAATAGAATTTTGGAAATAGGGGTTTTGGGGTTTTGGGGTTTTGGGG